TCTGGGACCAGAACCTGGAGATCTGGCTTTAGGATTTTTGGCCTTGATCATGTACCTGGACACCCCTGGGTCCTGGTTTTCTCCTTTGCTCTATCTGATCTATGAACAGTTATCATCTCAAGTAGAAATTAAACACATACATAGAAGGTTCTTCATTTGGCATTTCACACCTTCTGTAACCTGGGCCCCTCCCTCACTCTCTCAGCCTGGTGCTTAGAGTCCTGGAAGGGCAGCAGTGGCTTTGGAGTGAGGCTGACCCCACCACTTCTCAGTGGTAGTCCACAGAGCACCACCTTGTTGCCTTCAGCTGGTAAAACTGGGATGACACCTATACTTAGCAGGTGTTTCCCGAGGTGAAATGAGAAGATGCACTCATTTAGTGCCTGGTAATTAGGAGAGTTCTATCCTCTCTATCATCAACTCCCATTTCTTCCTAGGCAAGCCCCATGGCCCCAGGGGAATAGTTAACTAGATAAATACTCTGTTCTTTCCCACAGAGCTTTAGCTTATGGTGTTCCTCAGTCTTGGAATTCCTTCTACACTTCTCCACTTCTGTAAATGCTATCCACCCTTTAAGACCCTCCTCAAACACTACCTCTTCCATGTAGCTTTCCCTAAGTCTTATCTAGCCAAAGCAGAACTCCCCTTTTGAGCGTCTGGTCTCATCTCCTCTCTCTGCTGATTGCCTTCTGATGGCAAGAATTCGTCTTCCCCACAGTTTCTAGAACAAAAGAGGCGACAGCATCAACTAGGAACTTGTTAAAATGGCAAATTTCCAGGTCCACCTCAGACTTACTACCCCAAAAACTCTGGGGTTTGGCATCTGTAGCTCAGCGGCTGGGGCACCAGCCACATACACCGGAGCTGGCAGGTTTGAATCCAGTCCAAGGCCTGCCAAACAACGACAACTATAACCAAGAAATAGCTGGGCATTGTGACAGGTGCCTATAGTCCCAGCTACTTGGGAGGTTGTGGCAAGAGAATGGGTTGAGGGGGTGGCGCCTGTGGCTCAGTGGGTAGGGACTGGCTCCATATACCTAGGGTGGAAGGTTTGAACCAGGCCCCGGGCCAAACTGTAACAAAAAATAGCCGGATGTTGTGGCGGGCACCGGTAGTCCCAGCTACTCAGGAGGCTGAAGCAAGAGAATTGCCTAAGCCCAGGAGTTAGAGGTTGCTGTGAGCTGTGACACTACAGCACTCTACCGAGGGTGATAAAGTAAAACTCTGTCTCAAAAAAAAGAGAGAGAATCAAGAAAGAGAATCGCTTGAGCCCAAGAATTGAAGGTTACTGTGAGCTGTAGTGTCACAGCACTCTGCCAAGGGAAACACAGTGAGACTGTCTCAAAAAAAAAAAAAAAAAAAATCAAAAACTCTGGGAATAGGGCCCAGAAATATGTTTTAATAACCATCCAGGAGGGTCAGTGCCTGTGTCTCAAGTGGCTAAGGCGCCAGCCATACACCTAAGCTGGTGGGTTCAAATCCAGCCTGGGCCCACCAAACAATAACGGCTGCAACCAAAAAATAGCCAGGCGTTGTGGCGGGCACCTGTGGTCCCAGCTACTTGGGAGGCGGAGGCAGGAGACTCGCTTGAG